GAACCCGGTTTTGCTCCGGATTAGGCCACTGGCTGGGCACCTTCTGGCCGTCACAGATCAGCAACGCCGCGGAATGTACGGAGCTGCAAGCTGCGAGACACTCTGCTCACATATACATACGCACATACACACGGAATGTGCGTGCATGTGTGTCAGCTTGCAGCTCTCCGTGAGGAAGTTGAGCAAAAAGGTGAGGTGAGGTGGCCTGGAGGGTTTCAGGAACAAACGATCCGGATCCAGGTACGACAACCACAACCGGATAATAACGGCCGCCATATCTCAACCCACGCAGCCCCCCACTTACATACCCACCCCACCCCACTCCACCCCTCCCCACCCGCACCGTGCACCTGCCAGCAGTACTCCCTCCGCCGCGAGCTCCACCACCGCTCCGCCCTCCGTAACGCCCGCCCGCTTGGAGCCCCTCTTCGCCACCTTCTCCATTCCTGCCGGGGCACCAGCACCAGCACCAGCACCAGCACCAGTCCGCTCAGGTAGTGGGCCCCTTACCCCAACCGGGCCCCCGCCGCCCCCGCCCCCGCCGTCGCCTTGAGCAGCAGCAGCAGCAACAACAAGGCGCTTCAGTGCCCTGCATGCGGCCTGCAATGCACCACATCGCTCCAGGGCGGCTAACCCCCCCGCATCTGCCGCCACCTCCCGCATCGCCCACAGCACGTCGAAGCAGCCCCCCTGCTCCTTCTCCTCCTTGTCCTGCTCCATACGCTCAGCTAGTAGCTCCATCAGCCGGGGGGTGTCCAGGATCATGGTCTGAAGCTGGGAGTGGGAGCCGCCGGCGGCTGCTCGCCACGCCATACCCAACAGACAGAGACCCGCCTGGGGGGCACAACATCCGTATGCGTGCGTGTTTTGGTGGTTGGCGGTTGTGAAGTGCGAGGAGGGCATGTTCAGATTACCGGAGGTCCTGACTTCCAAGTCCTTTTGGGGTCCCAGGTCTGTTGGGGGCCTTATGAAGTTATGGCGCTTGGGGGCCGGGATGTGGTCTGGGGGGTTGATTTCGCGTTGACCGCCGCAGGGTTGTCAGACTGCTGCAGGTAAACTATTCTGTAACGTAAGGCGCGGAGGGTGGGTCCTCCGGGGGCCCAGATCACCTGAAACAATGACCTGCGATAACAAACCCTTGATGTCCGGCCTTGTCAGGAATGCCCTAATGCCACCTTGATTTCCGGTAGGGGTCTCCT